ATCTCAGTAATACAAAAATAAATCTCAGAACAAGCAAAGACTTTTAGTAAAAATAAAATAAATGTTTTATTTATGTTTTATAGCTTTAAATCACAGAGCACAGGGGTTAACCTCTCATGTAAACCATTTTTTTCAAATAACTAATAATTTAACAAATAAATCAGATTTTTTCATATTGGGGAGATACTAATCATACAATAAAAAAGTTTATTCACCCTATACTGTATGTAAGACACAATAATACACTTTAATAGAGCAATGACATGGACAAAAACATAAAGTAAAACATTTTTCAAAATAGATTACTGTAGTATGGTTAAAACATATTTTTTTCCAGTCAACAATCAAAACTAAGAAAGTGGAGAAAAGGCAACGTCAGCTTCATAAAACTTCATAGCTAAAATAAAATACACATAATCCACAGATGAAAATAAAGAATTGTAATATAAGGTAACTTTATGTATTCAATGACAGTATTCCAGGGAATGGTAAATATCGTTCATTATAAATAAAATTGTTGAAAAGAACATATTTTCATAAGGAGCATTAGCAGCAATAAAATACAGCCTGATTGGAAATAAAAACCTCGGCAATAATATGCATTCGTCTGCAGTTTATCCATATATACTTGTATGCATTTAATACTGCATGCCAGAGTTCCCGTTAGCCGGTAATTACCGGACTATGACTGGTAAAATATGCTGAAGACCGGCAAATCTAAATCTCTCCGGTCAAAGTGTCCGTTCAAAATAATTTCCGTTTAGCGCAATACCACATCAGTTGCGCAACTTGCGCCATTTATGTGACAGACAAAAGAGTATGTGACAGACAAGAATAGTCAATTCTAATGTCTAACCTGTGTCTAAAGGCCCTGACACACCAGGCCGATTTCGGCTGTTTTCGTAAGTCGGGAGACGAAGCGTGTCCTGTCGCCCAAACTCAATTTGGTGTGTCCCGCACCGTCGACGTGACACGCCTTATTTGGACTGCCTGTCCCGATCATAGACTGTATATATAAATGGACGTAGTGTCCGTGACGTCACCCATAGGATTCTGAAGAGTTGCCGTGAAGCCCTTAGTAGGCGGAGTCGGCCACTAACGGCTCGACTGTGACGTCAGAGTCTAATCCCGCCTGCTCCAAATAAGGGCAAAGAGGCGGAGCCGAGGCGGGACCTGCTGCCTCCGAACTGGAAGTAAACAGAGCTAGCTCAGGCTAAGAAGCTAAGCTAACATGAAATACATGCATACCAAGTTACTGCTAACAGTGTCGTTCCCATATATAAATGTTACATTCATAATCAAATGAGACAATCTGCAAGAGAATTAGCTATATTTTGTTATTCTTAATGCTTGTCACACGTTGAGAAAAGACGGACTCCTCCGCCCGGACCTAATGGAGCCGCAGTGGGCTAGCTCCGGGACGCCGGCTGGAGCTAGCCCCCTGCGGCTCCGTTAGCTCCGGCGGCCACCACTGGGATAATTGGGTCCCCTATTAACATTTGCTCCCGTTTAGCATTATGGGCGTCATAGCCATAGACTCTAAAAGTCTTACCCAAGGCTGAATCATAAACTAAAATGTACATGTATGCATAAAGGGTTACGTCCTTAGCTGGCTAATAAGTAACAAGCTAAGCTACCAAGCACACAAACACCTACGAACGGGGTTAACATGTATAATATTATCATTTTAGACTTCTTGGAAGTTCTGTTAGTACATTCAAGCGCACAGCACGACATTTTAATTGTCTGGTATTTGTAACAATATTCCCTAAAAGGCACAATCACCACGAAAACGGCTAAAGCTAAAGGGTCAAGTACAGTACTATGACTAACTAACGTTGTAGCCTCTATGGTTGTAGCCTAGCAGAGTGGACAAGTTGCTGTTAGCTGACAGTGAGGCATGTACGTGTCCATCAACGTGACCACGCCCTAATTTATGCAAAAACAAAACAGCCAGTCCCTAGCGGCCCATGTATGAACTGCAGTGTGTGGCACTTCCGTATTGGCTTCCCGGCTGTTCCTCAGAGTTTGCCGCTTGGTCCCGATGCATGGCCGATTCAGCCATGCATCGGGTCTGGCAGTCGGACCAAACAATCACTCTGATTGGCTGTTCAGCTAGCGAATCAGTGCATGAGGAACGAAACGGAAGTGAGGGACGCAAACAAACGATTTAAGAAGGCACACACAGACTGATATTCATTTTCATCTCATCAAATCTGCGATCTGGAATGACGCAAACGAAGACCTGCTCATTACATTGATCCAGGAGAGGCCAGCTCTGTACGACATCACAGAGAAAAGGTACTCGAACCGAGTAGTGAAAACCGGACTCTGGCGAGAGATTGAAACGCAACTTGGTTTCTCGGGTAAGATTATCTTTTTCATCAATTGAGCTCTTTAGCAGATATTGTTGGCTTTTTATTGTTTGCCAGCGTACAGTGACGTTAACTTGAAATGTAATTTGTTATTTCAACCTTGTGTTTTGTTGTTATCTTGTTGCTAGCTGTGCAGTTTGGCACTGCATATAGATATGAATTGGACATGCTAACTAGCCACAATGCTTACATCGTTTATTTGAGTGCTTCAGAGAAAGAGCTGAGGAAGCAGTGGGATTCTCTGCGAAGCCAGTACACCCGGTAGCTACAGGAGACTTGCCCCTTCGGGTAGTTGTGGAGCACCAAAGACGGACAGACAGCAGTGGATCATAACCAGGCTGCAGTTTGCACACGATATTTGTTGTTGTTTATATCATGCAGTCTGTTCTTCTTCTCTGTCTTCCGGTTGTTGCCTATTTAATGAGGAATACACACTACCGCCGCCTGCTGGTAAGGAGAGTTATTGCCACTCACGCACTGAAGTCTTTGCGGTGTGTTCCCGTGCGACACATGGCCAAGACGCAGGAGAACACCACGACGCAACAGCCGACGTCGGCGTCGGCGAGTCCTCTGGTGACTGCTTGGTGTGTCAGGGCCTTAACACGTAATGTGGAGAAAGAGATGTCCTGTATGGGTTGATTGTGCGTTGATCTGTTGGTAATGCCTCGGGGTTCCGGTGCGCATGTAAACAAATGCATAATTCTGCGCTATACTTTGTGGCCTCACCCAGTTGCATAGCGACACTTATTGTGTAGGTGTCTTTTGATAAGCAGGTAGTCATATCATTAGCTAGAACTAGCTGGATCTGATCGATATGGACATAAATGCGAGTGAAGTCTAATCTGACGGGAGAGAGATCAGCTGCTGCTGACGAGTCGACACGCAGCTCTGCATGATCACATGCAGTGGTGAGCGGAACAAAACACACACCAGGTTAGAATATCACACGTGGCTATTTTAATGACCTCTCAAACTACCGTAACTAGTTATAGATATGTTTAGTTTTACTGTCGGGTCACTCATTACTGATCCGCGAGCTGCATGATACTGACGGGCTGTCAGGAGAGGGAGAGCGCTCCGTTTATTATTCCCTTGTTATTGTAAATTACTGTACACTTTTGAATAATGTAGTTAATCTACTATAATTAGTTTGTTTAATATCGAATCATATCTATTTGTTTTAAAGCACAATAAATAACAAAGAAGACCTTTAACAGACATGTTGACCGGCGAAAAAATATTCTAACGGGAACTCTGCTGCATGCATGTATATATTTGATCAATTTGTATACCCTCCGCATGCATTACATTTAAAATGTTGTTGCTAATTTTAAAATGTTATATCTCATTGATTGACAAGTAAGTGAACAAGAAAATGTACTGTAAAATACAAATATATATACAAAGAAATAGTAGTACAGGTTTATGTAAGGTGCCATTAAAGGAAACATCCCCAAAGTGAACATGTATAAACCATGTCTACAACAGTATATACAGTACACTGAACAAAAATATAAACGCAACACTTTTGTTTTTGCTCCCATTTTTCATGAGATGAACTCAAAGATCTAAAACATTTTCGATATACACAAAATAACCATTTCTCTCAAATATTGTTCACAAATCTGAAATAATCTGTGATAGTGAGCACTTCTCCTTTGCCGAGATAATCCATCCCACCTCACAGGTGTGGCATATCAAGATGCTGATTAGACAGCATGATTATTGCACAGGTGTGCCTTAGGCTGGCCACAATAAAAGGCCACTCTGAAACGTGCAGTTTTGCTTTATTGGGGGGGTCCGAAAACCAATCAGTATCTGGTGTGAGGGTTAGGGTAATGTTGTGAATCGAGTGGCCCATGGTGGTGGTGGGGTTATGGTATAGGCAGGCGTATGTTATGGACGACGAACACAGGTGCATTTTATTGATGGCATTGTGAATGCACAGAGATACCGTGACGAGATCCTGAGGCCCATTGTTTTGCCATTCATCCACGACCATCACCTCATGTTGCAGCATGATAATGCACGGCCCCATGTTGCAAGGATCTGTACACAATTCCTGGAGGCTGAAAACATCCCAGTTCTTGCATGGCCAGCATACTCACCGGACATGTCACCCATTGAGCATGTTTGGGATGCTCTGGATCGGCGTATACGACAGCGTGTTCCAGTTCCTGCCAATATCCAGCAACTTCGCACAGCCATTGAAGAGGAGTGGACCAACATTCCACAGGCCACAATCAACAACCTGATCAACTCTATGCGAAGGAGATGTGTTGCACTGCGTGAGGCAAATGGTGGTCACACCAGATACTGACAGGTTTTCGGACCCCCCCCAGACCCCCCCCAATAAAGCAAAACTGCACGTTTCAGAGTGGCCTTTTATTGTGGCCAGCCTAAGGCACACCTGTGCAATAATCATGCTGTCTAATCAGCATCTTGATATGTCACACCTGTGAGGTGGGATGGATTATCTCGGCAAAGGAGAAGTGCTCACTATCACAGATTTTTTCAGATTTGTGAACAATATTTGAGAGAAATGGTTATTTTGTGTATATAGAAAATGTTTTAGATCTTTGAGTTCATCTCATGAAAAATGGGAGCAAAAACAAAAGTGTTGCGTTTATATTTTTGTTCAGTGTAATTTCATCGCGTAAAATATAGATATATATATATTTTGTAATTAAAAAAATAAGCGCTTGCTCATAAAATATATTTAAGTAAAAATGTAACGGGAAGATTTGTAGCAATAGTATGAATATATGGAAAAAATACTATAATAATACAATGATTTCATGCTTAATTTAGAATAAACTTTCCAATGAAGAAAGAAATGGAAGGAATACATTTCATACAAAAGAGAAAAGTGCACATGCAGACACTAAGTACTACTTTTGCCCTTTGCACAGCAGAGCCAGTCCTTGTATGCAGAGAGAGAGGATTAATGGGAGCACTCCTGCTTCACTTCCTGTCTCTGACCACAGCCTGTCACTGTCTCTCTTCAGCGCCACGTTAGCGGAGCGGAGCAGCTGCTCTGCCTGCTGGAAGGCCTGGTTCTCCTGCAGGAGGACATGGAGACACTGGATGGAGAGAGGCTCGCTGTTCTTCTTTAAACTGCACATCTGGAGGGACAGAATTTGAGAAATGGATACATAGGCGGTGGCTGGGTGAGGCAAAACATGCTTGTTATAAACACCGCAGAAGATGCTGTTATGTTTAACACAGCAATTCTATAAACCTACTGACCAACAATAACCACAGCACAGGAGCTACAGCAGGCTTGCTGTCTAATTCTTATTCTTTATTAGGATCCCCATTAGCACTAGCATGAGCATTGGCTATTCTTCCTGGGGTATTCACACACACAAAACATACATAAACACACAACAAAACTAAAACAAAACAGCTGATCATTTCATGCAATTTTAGCCATCATAAGGCCATACATACAATACATACATACCCACAGGCACAGTTCAATTTTACTTAATTTGTTTGCAACCTTTTGAAATGTACTTCCAGCTGACCATGGCTCTGTACATGACTGCTTTCTGTCCCATATTTGATTTCGATTTGGGTAATACAAACCTTCCTTCTATTGTATGTCGTGTTTGATAGTTGGGCATACTGCGCTATAAACCTTTGTGATAATATATGTGGTGAGTGAGTCACTGTAATATTTCTTACAAAATGTAACAAAATATAAGTTGACCTCTGTCTGACACTTAGCCATTTCAGTGTCTCCAGCATTTCAGGTACTCTGGTTCTGCAGGAGCACTGCAGTGCACACCGTGCTGCCTTATTTTGTGCCACTTGTAGTTTGTTTAAGTCTTTTTCTGCAGCACTAGACCATATAACCAAACAATAATCAAGCTGCGACAGAACCAAAGCGTCCATAACTTGTCTACTGACATCCATTGGCAATTATTTTACAATTATTTTTACAAGTGACACACCCCTTCCCATTTTACATACAACATTATCAATAGACCAAGATAATTTATGATCCAGGGTTATACCTAGCAATTTTGTCTCCTTGACCTGTTCAACTTGAATATGGTTTAAATGTAATTGCAATTTTGGTTCACCTTTTAACTGATGATTTGATCCTATTATTAAAGATTTTGTTTTTCCAGCATTAAGTACCAACTTATTATTTATGACCCCCTCTGATGTCAATTGTAGATCTTTGTTCATAAAACTAGTCAACTTTCTTGTAGACGGTGCTGCTTCATATATTGTCGAGTCATCTGCATACATTAAAATGTTGGCTTTTTCTAACACTAATGGTAAGTAATTTGTGAAAATAGAAAATAAAAGTGGTCCCAAATAACTACCCTGAGGTACTCCGCAAGTGACTGTCTTCATCTTTGGCAGACTTCCATTAAAAAAAACAGTTTGACTTCGATTTGTCAGGTAACTTTCTAACCACCTCAGCGTATCAAAATTAAAACCATACTGTTCTAGCTTGTGTAACAGCAAAGAATGGTCAATGACATCAAAAGCAGAACTACAATCAAGTAGTACTGCACCCACTAACTTCCTATTATCTAGTTCGCCCTTCCAACAGCTTTCCCCTTTATGGTAAACTAAGCTAAGAGGCTCCTAGCTGTAGCTTCATATTGTTATACAAATAACATTTTCAGACAACATGAAACAATCTGCAGTACAATTTAACTAACCAATGTGTTGAAGGCCTCCAGAAAATGAGAGCTGCTCTCACTCAAGAGGCTCAGAGTTTCATCAGGCAACTCTGCAAAAAAAACACATATGAAACATGTTTGCTCAAAATCACTGTGGGAAAATGTTTACAGCCCTCTACAGACTCAAGTTTGTCCTCACCTTCCATGGCACTGACCAACAGGTGAGCTGCATTAAGGTGTAAAGGGACGTCAGCAGCACTGTCTGTGCCAAGCAGCTCCAGTATGGCTGACAATAATTTTCTCTGACTCTCTGACAGATCCTTATGCTTGGCCATATCCAGTGTTTCACCACTGCACAACTCGTCCAGCTAAGAGAGACAGGTACAGAGAGGAGAGGAAATAGAAAAAACACGAAAAATAATAGAGTTGTCCAGTAATGACTCCAAAAACGTAGAAATGAGTGAGCATTTGACAACTTGTGTTACCTTTGAAGTCAACTGTTTATGTCATGTGTTTTGCTAAGATGCCTTAAATAATATGTGTGTTGATCTAGGTGTAAGAAGACTAAGATATTCTCATGTTTTGTTCTACAACATAAAATAATGCTGACTAATTTCCGAGCATTAGCCGCCTTTAGCTTAGCGGTGGTGATGTGCAACCATGCAACCGTGATGTTGATCATAAAAGTTCTGTTAATATGTGGAGTCTTTCCTGCTGAAAACAATGTTTAAGTATCATAAACGTGTGTTTGGTGAACATTTCATTGTCTGCAATATTCTAAAATGAAATAGTAAAATAAATGGGGCCTTTGCGATGCTAACATCTGGGTCGGCCTACAAAATGATGTCACCACACGAACACTCTATAACACTGCATACCAGTCCTGTTGCAATCCAAATCCATGTCTGTCCAAAATGTCATCTCCTAATGCTTTAATCCTATTAGACATTTGTATGAAGTTCTCATTGAGTTATGGCCAAAAATGTGTTTTGGGAGGTCACGGTGACCTCGACCTTTGCCTACCAAAAGTCAGAGTGTCACTCACCGAACACTCAACATGTGACAGGGCAGTTCTGTCCCTCAGAGTCTCTTGGAGTCTCTTGAACAAAGCGTATCGAGTGGACTGGGGGAGCTCTGCCAGAGGAGAAAGATCCATCTCATGTGATCCTGTAAAAAAAGGGAGATACTGTGTCAGGTTTCAAACAGAACACGTCTCATTCTCGGGATTATGTCTACCTACATACATTATCCACTCGTTTTAATCTCCAAATGTATAAATAGTACTGCAACCTTTTTATTTTGAGATATTCCGCTTTCTTACAAACAGGTACAGAGTTCTTGGTAAACCCCTACAACCACAATTATTGAAGATATTACGCAATTACACTCACATTTTTCATGACACGTTAAAATGGAAGTAACTCAGTCATGACTAGGGATGGGTATCGTTTGAAATGTATCGATTCCGATTCCGGTTCTGCTTATCGATTCCGGTTCTTATCGATTCCCCGTTTCGATTCCAAAATTGTAAAAGAAAGAGGTCAAACGTTTAGATAACAAAAATATCTTTATTTTTTTAAACTTTAACTGACATTTTTACAAATAAAAAATATACATGCAATACAAATGTATTGCACAATAGATGTGCTTTATTTTAACTGAGCTATGCCTGTGGCAAGCTATTAACAGGCATTACACTGTGCCTTGTCTTTTTCTTTTTTAGTGTAGTGGAGCCTCACTTTAGAGCGTTTACCGCGATCCATCTTTGGTGTCATGAAGTGACTGAGCTCGTGAACTGTCTACGGGAGGGCGGGGGGAGCCTCGCTGCGGGGCAACTGTGGACCTCTGTCGCCGCAACTTACATGATGCCGTTTAAAAAAATGAAGGGCGGTGCCGGCTGTCAGCTAACCGAGCCGGCCGTCAACGGCCCGCTGACGACCGGCCGTTCTGTGATTCTCCAGAACACACAGATGGCCAGTCCTCCCTTACCCTGGCTGTATTCCACCGGGTCGCCGCGGCGCTGACGGACCCGGTGGAATACAGGGTCTACCGCGTTTAGGAACGGTTAAGCAGAACCGAAATTGTGTATTTTGTATGGGTACCCGGTACCCGGCATTTTCTTATCGGTTCTCATCTGGAACCGACTTAATGACTTACTTATAATTCTCCAAAAATAGTATGATTTTTCAACATCATGTAGCCTATATTTAATGCAGACCCAGACACTGTTGCATAATTAACTAATTCTAAACATTTGTGATAAGGGTTTGTCCTCTATAGCTTCTTGCTAGTTGAACTTTTAGTTGGGAATAACTGATAAATTAGTTTGAGTTGAAAAGTGTGAATTGTCATCTAAAATCTGAGAATAGAAGAAGACTATTTGGCTAACTGTAAAATATTATGTATATATTAGTATAACGGGCTGTACATTTCTGACAATGACAGATATATAAAGACCTACTAGTAATAGTCAGAGTTGGGAAAAAATGTATAACATGTAATCAGAATTACGAAATCAAATTGCAAAAAAAGTGAACTACAGCCTCATAAACCCAGATTGACTGTGGGAAAATATGCAATACGATTGAGGTTACTTTGCTAAGGATTTCTATGTAATAAAAAATATATTTCTGTTTAGTCTTCGAAACATGGCAATTTTCTAAAACGTTTTTTATTTTTAAATAAAGACAGCACATGTAGTTTGTGTCAGTACTGTTTTTTGTATGGGAAACATGGTTTCCCCCAAGGGAAACACTGAATTCGCAAACATTTTTGAGATCTTGAAAGAGAAGAAAAGGCAATATTTCAATGTTTTATTTTGAAGTAATCCAAAATAATTTCAAAGTACCCTGACTTGAGCATTGTACTTAAAGTTGAAGTTTTATATTCAGATGCTGGTCAGACCAAACACAATTCCACCAAACATTAAATCCACAGAGCCATCTGCAGCAGAAAAGGGATCTTATTTCCTTTCCATCACTTCCTTAATGTCTGTCATTTTCTCCCAAAATAGAAAGTGTAAATGGAAGCTTATCCATTAAAGTTATTTCCAATTAACTGACTTATTATATAAAGCACAAACCATTTTGCATTTCAATCAAAGCTACTTTCTCTGGAAACATACCGTCCACCCAATCCAAGGAATCCTGGGATGGCCAGGACTCAGGCGAGTCTGCTTCAATGCCTCCTATTGTTCCAGGCCGTAGGCATATATCTACACACAACATCACATAGTCAAAACACAAAATCAGACAATTCACTATTGAATATCAGCCTATGGGATGTTAAAAAATGATGGACTGATTTATATTAAGTGATGTTTGACTGTACTTCTCTATACAGTGTAGTATTTACTATATTTGTATTTATTATTATGCATTTAAAAAACAAGGACCATGCAAAAAAAGGAAATTATTTATGCCAGAGATTTGTAATACTCGCTAACACACAGCTGTTAAGGCCCTGTCACACTGTCCCGAAATTGACACCCGATGAACACACGAATATGGAATTGTGAATTTCGCACGAAGATGGCCCCGAACCACACACGAAGGCAACATTTACATTACATTTAAGACATACAACTGCAATGAAAGTACCAAAAACAATTATGTTACAGTACTATGATACTGTACTGATATCTTCAGACTTTGTTCTTTACTTTATCCGTCGTTATATGTAGAAAATATTACGTTTTCTCCGTAATGTTGTTTCCATAACAACAACAACTTCCTGTCAACTGTCCTTCAAAATAATATATTATATCCTTTTTAGTTTCACAGAACACAAATTGGGTTATTTACATAATATATTTACATGATTTTGTTGTGCAATAAAACAACCCGATGGACACACGATAAAGGAAATGTTCAAATTCGGCTGTGATCGTAGCAACATCGGGCCATTCGTGAGGGCATCTTAAGCCTTCGTATGACCGCCGGTGGAGTTTCTCAGGCTCCGGCAGCAACTTCGTGAGCAGTGGCAAAATCTTTGGCATGCCAAAAAATTGCCGAAGGACCTTGCGAAGATTCATTTTCGTGTTGAATTCGTGTGTAAATGTTGCCCTTCGTAAGGCCATCGTGAGGGCATCTTGTTATCATCGGTGCCATCGGGCATTCGCCCCGATCAGAGTGAGGGTGAATGCACCGATGATAACACGAAGATGACACGATTTGACAAGATGCCCTCACGAGTACCTTACGAAGTTGCCGCTCACGAAGTTGCTGCCGGAGCCTGAGAAACTCCACCGGCGGTCATACGATGGCTTAAGATGCCCTCACGAATGGCCCGATGTTGCTACGATCACAGCCGAATTTGAACATTTCCTTTATCGTGTGTCCATCGGGTGTCAATTTCGGGACAGTGTGACAGGGCCTTTAAGGATAACATGACCGTTGCTAGGGAGGATCAAGGGACAATGTGCAGTCACTTCAATCAGCGGAAAGAAGTCCGGTCGACTTAACTTCAACATTAGGTATCATCCATCAAAAAACACCATGGAATACTTTTTGAATATTAGCTTTTATATTTGTGGAGAGCACAAAACGTTGGTTTCAAGATGGCTGAACTGTCCCCAGAGAAGAAACAGGTTTAAATACAGCGCACTGGACGTCAGAAGAACTACAGAGGTGAGACAGGAAGTAAACACTTAAGAGAGCACAGTATTGGCTCTGGCAGTGTTTAAAGACTGGTTAATGGAAAATAAAACAGTTTTTGTTTTTGCCGCAGATCCAGATGTTGGTACGCAATGGAATGGACTGAATACCATAATTATTTTTTTGTATATCTTGTCAAACTAAAGAGAAGTGAAAATGTGATTCACACTTCCCATTTTCCAAGACATTTTTTGTCACAATGACCCCATTTTTTTCTCTGTAAACACACACACACACACACACACACACACACACACACACACACACACACACACACACACACACACACACACACACACCATAGTGTCCATCCTTTTTAATGTCCAGTTCCAGGACGCTGTACGCAATAACTGTTCCAGACGGGATCTCCAAGGAGACGTCGCTGTCCGCCTCAATGTTGCTGCTGTTCTTCACACACAACTAAGAATACACACACAGGCCAGGAATTTTAAATTAAAAGGTACTTAAGTGACAATCTTACTGAAAAATAAACAAATATTACATTGGTGTCACTTTATTAAACCATCATTAATAGATACGTCAAACTATTTCTCCTTTTGTTAATGATAAAAAAACACTATATATAGTAAATGAAAGGTAATTTATGTACGTATACATAATAACGAAAAAGCATTCATAATCATTAGTTAACTTGATTCATTGTCTAATAATGGCACAGATTACAGTAAAATAAACAATATCAAAAGTTTTATTGAATTCTGAAAATACACATTCACACTCCACACCCACCTTAGCAGGGCTCCCTAGCAGGCCCACCAGCCCCTGGAAGATGCACTGCTCCCTTTTCTTCTGGGTGATGGAGCAGGGGGTGGTGGTGAGGATCCTCTCCTTCACCACTGCCAGCACCTCCTCTCGCTTCTCCATCTGCTTCACCAGCTTATTCTGCATGTCCACCAGCCTAACGCAAAATAAAAAAGTGTATGAATTACAATGGCAATGTAGTGTATGTGCGTGGTATTTAGGTGTAATCTATTAGTAATTAGTAGAGAGGTGAAGGCATGACACATTGTTGTAAACTGGCGGGAATATTAGATTCCAAAGTGTCCTTTGACAAAAGGCAATTGTATTATTGCAGAAAATAAGATCTTTGGCAAAGCAACGTTTATGATACTTAAATATTTTGTTCAGCAGGATAATCTCCACATATTAACACCACTTTTACGATTTTTGAAGCGTAAATGCAAAATGCAAATTGCTAAAAATAAATTGCTAAAAGTAAATAGCAAAACTATAGCTTTAGCTAACGTAAAGGCTATTAGCGAACAAAAACACAGTAGCATGGCATCATGTAAACACTGCTACGCTAGAGGCGGCTAATGTTGAGCAGGGTGACGTTCATTTTATGAAGTTGTTAATAAGACACTTAAAAGCTATAGACATTCACCAGTGGTGTACTTACTGACATATCGTATGTTGGATTTGTAAATCTACTAAACTTGTATTAACCACAGGCCTTATTTTGGGAATTTAACCCAGAACACATATAAAACATTGAATTCAAGACAAACAACATCACAGTTGCATGGCTTCACTTAACCACCGCTGAGCTAAAGGCAGCTAATGATGTCCGTGATGAGTTTTAGTGGTCACTTGTTAACAACCACTGTTTTTATTACACATAGAAGCTTCAGACATTAATCACTGGGGTATTTACTGACGTAATTTAGGTTGTAAAACAATATGAGGAAGCCAGAAGTAATAAGGTGCTAACTGATTCCTAGGTCCTGCAGCATGCTATTCACATTAGAAACCAGATCACTAGAACCAAGGACATATCAAGTGCAGTGTATTTAAGTAAGATGACACTATTGAACTCTGTGGTTTGCATTTTACTGGTTTGAGGTGTCAAATGTGTTGTCTAACTACATTGATTCCCCTCATGAATAATAAAGTTGTCACCCTTTCACCTTCTGCTCACTGTCCACAATGTGTGAATCTTGAATACGGAAATTATGAATGACCTGCTGCTGGAGTCCCGTAACAGCTTTTTCACATCCAGTTCCTCTTTCAACATCCTGCCAAAACATGATTGGAGCTCGGAGGAGCCGTGGCCCTCCAGTGTTCCACCGACGGGGCCAACCTCGGGGTCTAGCTTCCCGGAGACTGCGTCTCTAAACGTCCCCTTGTAGGTCAGAAAGTCTGTCTCGGACACTCCTGACAAAACATGTGATGTTGGATATGTGTGAGGGTAAATGTGTCTTACAATAAGGAGGCATGGAAATACTTGAGCAATTTCTATTCCCTTTTTTTCTGTATATGCAGACTTACCAGGACTTAGCACCTGGTCGCCTTGCAACAAGTCGCTGAGGGTGAAAACTGTGGGTTGGTACTTGGGGCTCTGCCAGAACCAGATGCGGTTGCGTTTGACAACTAGTCCAATAGGAACCAGTTTTTTTGAGTCGTTTACTCGCGACACATGGATGAGGCTTCCTTCAGGGTCAATCTGATGGACGAAGTTGGCAGTGGCTTTGGAAAACATGACTTCTACAAACGAGGGCTGCAGACACATAGAAGAAGAAGAAGAGAAAGATACTTTTAACACTTCAATTTCATTTTCTTAATTTGAAGGCGCAAGGAAATATTCAGAAATCATGTTATTATAAAGTAAAAAGCATTTCTCTTACAAGTTTGTCATTTCATTTTTTACAACACAATGTAATAATCTCTCACCAAAATACAATTGAATACTTGTATTTTCCACTTGTGATTTATATAAATGAATTCCAGATTATTGGGTTTAACTTGATTACATTTTTTAATCCATTGGCCCGCTACTTTTAATGCTTCAATTTATGTTGCAAGATGCCGAGAGCAAAGACCAGATGAGGAATTTTTCCCCAACTACAAACCACTGTGCGTTATTTCCTGTTGGTATTCTCCCCAGTCTCCCTTAAAATAATAGATGCAAGTCCCTATGAAGCCAGGTACTGTGTGGGTGTGTGTGAGGGCCATGTATCCCCACATCACCCTGTAACAAATAGTTGGGAGTGACTCACGAAGCCTACAGGAAGTCCCCTGGAAGTTGTCAACAAATTAACATGACCGAGAAAACACACACACACACACACACACACACACCATGGCTCACTGATTCTCATGGCTCTGATATCATAGCTTAAATATTTAAAGTAATCAGGCGTAAGCAGGATTTGTGCCGCTAGAGAAGAGAGACACAGAAACGAAAGAAGAAAGTTTGAGCTGTGTCTCCTGTGTTGTTTTAACCGAAATAATGCAATATTGGCTGGAAGGCATAAAGAGGCCAGAGAGGGGAACAAATATAAAACAGTTGCTCTTACCCTGAATGAAAAAAAAATCACCCATCCACCTTCCCATACATGCACAAAACTCCCCTTGACTTAAAGGTCCCATGTCATGGCCATTTCCACTGATCATAATTCCATTGTTGAGGTCTACTAGAATAGATTTATATTGTGCAATTTTCCAAACTCACATTGGTTTCTCAAACAGCATCTCTGTAAACTATGTGTATTCACTGAATTTCACTCTCTGCCTTTAACGGCTCGTTGTAGCTCCAATAGCTCCAGCCCCCACCCTCCCTGTGAGCACAGTGTGCTCTGATTGGTCGGGACGTTGTGAATCGCGCTAAGCTCCGTGGAGGTGTTGTTTCCTTGTTTAGCGATACACAGCGAAACACAGCCAAACTCATCCTGAGCACACACAAAGTCACAACCAAAGTAAAAACAATAAGTGTGGCTTGATATTGAGTAAGAAAAAGGTTGATAAACGCAGTGAGAATGGGTCTGCAGAGAGAATAGGTCTGCAGAGAGAATTTTGGCGCGATCCCAACTGTCTGTTATCAGCCTGCAGCCAGGGAGGAGAGATCAGCAGAGCTGCTTGCCTGAGTGTGTGAGGAAGTCCGTGGATTGGTCAATTTGGACCAATCAGCGGGGGCTTAACGTAACGGCTCCGCGGACGTAACGTAACGGCTCCACGGATTGGTCCATTTCGTTCCGGGTACGGTTGACATCATGCGTACCCGGAAGAATCAAATGGACAATGACGTATCTTCAACGAGGCGTTTTGGGGAGGTATTTTCTGTGTTAGAGTTTAACTCGCTACAGGGTGTACTTTGAGGGTTTTGACTCTGCACACCGTTTACATAAAAACCTTCATAACACACAAGGGGACGGGTACTAACCAAAAAAGCATGACATGAGACCTTTAACACATTTTCAGTGTTTGAAAACTCAAAGTCCAAATGTTTCCCAATTATTTACGTAGTTTCTCATGTTTTGTAGGATGTGGGCCAGGGAAAAATAGATTAAAAATAAGATTTTAATGTGTGAGGACATTTCTGACAATAAATAGACTGGCATGCAGTAAGGATTCACCATGGTCTGGCTATGTGTGAGCAGTAATGTAAAGATAGCCTAAAGGTTATGGTTCTCAAAATACTTACATTGTCACCATAAAGAAAACAACCAACATTATCGACTCTTATTTCTTTAGTATTATCTATGTTAATCTATAAAAAACAACATAAAATTACGTTAATGTGACGTCAAAAACTTGACGTGTCTCAATTCGGATATTTTCCGTAGTACACTGCTATGTTGTGCACCCTTAACACTTACAGGTAGGGTAAGAATGGAGAAACCAGCTCGAGTGCGCTAGAATTTGAAAGTACGCAGCCGAAAAAAAATCTGCCCCTTCCTTCAGTCTTCCTTACAGAGCCCCTCCTCCAACACACACGAACGCGCACATGACCAATGAGGGCACGAGATAAGTTTGTGCACGAGGTGGAAGGCTGACAGGCAGGTAGGCCATCCAGTTATTTTAGCCGTGCTTTTTACAGCGCTACGGCTTCCACAGATGAAATGTTTTAATGTATTTATTGTCAAAGCATTTAATATATTCATTGCTATCGGGATGTTAAGAGCATTCCATGGAATATAACAAAAAGTGTTTCTGAAGTGAATTACCTACCCTACCTTTAAACTGGGCGTCAATTTTGACCATGTAGCCTACTGATGTCTTAAAGGTCACCTATTATGCAAAATCCACTTTTTCATGTCTTTTATACATAAAAGACACACACACACCTTATCACCTGAATCTCCTCCTAGAGCACCATTGTGTTCTTTTTAACCAAATATCTCTCAGAGGGGTGTGGGGAGGGGCTCCTTATTTTCATCTAAAGTAAAAGACACAGAATCAGCACTTTTGAAACAGGGCTGAAACAGAGGGGATTATGGGATGCTACAATGCATAATCTGTTTGGTATTTCGAGCAAAACACTTCAGAGACATGTTTTGCATATATCTGAGACCTATAATATATTGATGAAAAACAGTATAATCAGGGTCGGCTCTAGAACAAATCGAATGGGGGGGAAATCATTTACCAAGGGGGGGCACACACTGCCGTCAACAACCAACACACAAACACCAACGCAACTTCAATTTAAAAAAACATGCTGTAAAGTCTATTGTCTTTCACACACATTGCAGGGGTGTAGTGCTATTTTATAGCGCACCTATGACTTGTGCATACATGCACGGTTGTGGCACGACCACCAAAACAGAAACATATGGACATAGGCCACCATATAAAAAGTGTGCAAATGTATTTTGTATCCTATCCATGTGAACATGTTTTAGGTGGGGGTGGACCTAACCTCCTCTAGGAGGGTCTGGGGGCATGCTCCCCCGGGAAGATTATTTTTAAAATATTGAAGTTAAATACATCAATCTGGTGCACTTTGAGAGCAACATTAGGAGATCTATGGATAGCCTGCATCTCTCAGCATCCATATGAAACATAACTGTACACAGATTTACTTTTTTTTAATGGATATTTTACTAATCACTCCCCTTTTAAACTGTATTCTTGTGTTACTGTCCTATAGTATTTCATACCCGTTTTTCATTTATTCTCTTATTTTTTTAATAACTAGGCTATAGGCTAATGATCATATACATGTGTTCCTCGCAAATACTTGTTTACATAAATGGTGACCAAACCGTTTGAGACCCACTGAGATAACTTACACTAAAGTGAACTATCTAAACACTGAGAGAGTCCTTACCTCAATGAGCTGAGGTTATACGATCCTCTCAGTCTGACAGGAGAGGACTCTCCTCCACCTTGGTATCGAAACAGCTCTTTATATCCGTTAGCATAGCTAGCTAACCAGATGCTAACAACAACATTCCACGTTACCGCTCGCGCTCTCACAAAATGCGATCGTGCCACACACACAGAGAGCCGAGCTTGAATGAAACACAGAGACCCAGAAGTAGGCTACTTGTACTGTACTGTATATCATATTATTTTCGATGGCTTTACTGTATAATCAGTGTAACAGATGAACAGATTGCCACCGGCTTTCATCTAAAACACACAGCCACGTAATGATAACAAAACAAAAGTCGGGGGTCATTGGTCAAGCAACACACCAATCAGAGAGCAGCAGTGAGCACACCTCAGGCTGTGTTTTATATTTGTATTCTTTATTTCTGATGTATTTCACACAAAAAACCTTTAGTGGAAACGTTTTCACTTAGCCCATATGATTACAAAAAAAAAACGGAAAAGTGGCAAGGCTTGCCCACGCTGCGTTGGGGGGGCACAGTGACTCATTTGGGGGGCATGGCCCTCGAATGACCCCCCATGACGCCGACCCTGAGTATAATAGGGGACCTTTAAATCGCACATGGTAGCTGTGCCTTCCTTGCTCTCTCTCACACTTTTGCCAAATCTCAATATAGGACTTGGGACGTACCTAAACACTAAAAGCTTATCTAAGTTCAGAAGTGTGCAATTTGAGACACAGCAACTACCTTCAATTTGTTGAACTTGAACTGTAGTCCATAAAAGAATAATAAACAGGGAGTAGAAGAAAGGAAAGTGTTTCATTAGGAATATAAGCTAATATAAACAACTGGCAAACTAAATACAGTGGTTAATGCTCCTATAACAGTCCTGTGCACAGTATTTACAAGTGTTACTCTCACGTGGGCAGGCTATTTCCCGGCAGCCCACGTGAATTTGTCTAATTCCTCATTTGGTGTGCGTGCTTTCACAGTGAGATCAGCTGCGCGGAGCCTTAAGAACACATGATACGGATTATGAGTGTGAAATCAAAAAATAAAGTGGTACTGAACAGGAAAAACTAAACGAATAGGCACATTGGTGAACAAAATAGACTACACTGAGAATAAAGTCCCTTTTGCTGGTATTCTGTATCTTAAACTACCAAAGATGAATGACTACTAAATGAAGTGGTTTCTTACCTCAAATGTACGACCAAATTGTCCAAACGCAGACCAAACTACTCCTGTGGTGTTAGCAGTCACTGTGTTCAGTTATAGCAGCGGCTGAATGCTCGGAGAGAGAGATTGACTCAACAGATATGCACTTCACTGACCACACCCCCTACCACTCTCTCTGGAGTTAATTTGAGCCTAATCATATACACTGTGTTTCAGGACATGAGCAGACTTGCCTCTTGGTTTTTTAATTAAATAAGAATGGAAATACTTTTTTACATTACATTACATTACATTACATTACATTACATTACAAATACTTTGACAGAATGTCTTATTATGGGATCATTCATGCCTTTTCTGCATTTTGTTGACTTTTTGGTTTGTGGTTTGCAAGGTCAGCAGAAGTAGGTTATTACAACACACTGTACGACCATAATGTCATACAACTGGCAGTTTCAGGAATATTCAAGTTTATTTTCGAGAAATAAATCAGAAAACACCTGAATTTGTTACTTTGTCAGGGATGAATTATCATATCATCCCATGTATTGTATTGTTATTACTGGCTACATAATCCTATTTAAATGTATTTACTTACTTTCATTACGCTGCTACTGGGGATATTTTACCATGGTTGTCCACGTATTTGATATTATTATTACCCACACGTTTGCCTACTCCATTTAATATACTGAATAGACTGTCCCTTCAATTTTGTACCACTGTAAATTTCACTGCTGAGTGACACATTTATTTCTGATTTCACTTTTAATCACACAAATAGCTCACAAAACCACACGCCTATGCAGCAGTGCCACATGGTAACGTTATACTAAAATAATCGCAGGTTACCTTCTGTCAAAAAACTCGCTTTAGCAACATATGAGAGTGAAATGGATGGAAATCCCCTGTAGGCCTACGTTAAATGGAAATTACATTTGGTGAGATGGCTGTTGATACCCAGAACAAAAATATGGGGGTTCAGATGATAGTAAATTGACGCAAAGACTGGGGTTAGTCAGAATGGGTGGGCTAATAGCGTTCCAGTGTTGATAAGTAGGGCGTTAACTATCTTTTGCATGTTGTCAGAAGAAGCAGAAGGAGGCTTAGAAACAGCTGTAGCAGCATGTCATGGAACTTTATCTCTACAAACAGCTCTGGATCAGACACAACAACTTGTCTCATGATCTTCATCACTAATGTTAGTTAGTGCCGCAAGATCAAATGATGTAACTTCTGAAGTTCTGTCACATGCTGGACCGTGCTTCGAGCTACAGCTAGCAGGAGTTGTGTATGTTTCCAACAGCTGGTGGCTCTGCATTTGGCCTTCCATTGTTTTAGCTAACAGCAACAGTATTTATAAGGCTAATGATTTGGATTGTGGTTGTTTGTTTGTTCTTGGTCTGGTGTATGCATTTCATTTGTCCGTTTTAATGCACATTTGTTGTTGTTTGTTGTTTGTTTTGTGATGTAAAACGCTAATAAGTAACCTGCATCATAATTGTGTAATGGCAGCATATTGAGTCTCGTTTTTCTGTAGTAAGCTGTTACCGCTGGGCGACTGTGACCTTGTTGGTCAGTAGGTGAATAGTATAGAGTGGCGAAGTCACGCCCATCTACTTCCGGTCCATGGGACCTTATTTCTGAAAAATTATGTATTGAAGTCAATGGAGAGAGAAAACGTATCTTTCGATCCCGTTTCAATTGTGCCATGAATTACACATATGATGTTTGTCAATCTTAAAAAATCATTTCCATGTCAAAAAAGTCACAGTTTGTCTTAAAATTGTTGAAATATAAGACTATGAAAAATACCCAACTAGAAAGACTACAAATCCCAGAGTCGCGTACATTAAAGGGGAAAGGAAACACCATTACAGCTATAATATTCCGGTAGTTTATTCATTTTACAATGGATATTGATCGTAATATTTATTGTATATGATATTACTCGCCAAAAGAAAATTAATTATCCGCCGGCCGGGTGGGGAATTCCGGGACCAGGCCGCCGCCATTAGGGGAGTCCCAAATGGGGCAGGGGCAGGGGCAGGTGCAGGGGCAGGGGCGGGATCAACTCCTGAACAACAACAAAAAGCCGGCGTTTTATCCAGTTTGTACACAACGATGGAGAAACTTAACAAGCAGCAGTGGTCCACTGAAGAGACCAGCTACCTACTGGGAATCTGGTCTTCCGAAGAGGTACAGAGGAAGCTGGAGCACAATCAGCCATTGTTGTTGTTGTCGGTGTCAGCTGTGAGGGGTTTCGCGCGGTTTGGCTTTATGAAGCAGGCACGCAAACGGTTACGTCATGACGCAAACTATGACGCAATGACGCAGCACCAGTCGGACTCTGGGCAGTGTGAAAAGAGCCGGAGCTAAACCGAAGAACCGGTTCTGAACCTGAAAATCTCTAGCACGGAGCTTGAACCGGAGTTGCGTTGGTGTGAATGAGGTATGTGAGGTCTGAGAAAGCCAGGGATGCGCTGGGGGGCACCCTGCTGTCAAATGAGGTGACCGAGCGCTCCTCGCCTGGGGATATGCTCCCTTCCCCTGTCTCCACGGCCAGGGAGAGCCGGTCCTTTTAGTCCCTCTCCGAGGAGAAGCAGGTGGTCCTGGCGTTGGCTAGCTCTTTCTGCCAACACGCCATCCCTGAGCGGCTTGTCTCCGTCTAGCCCCCCGCCTCAGCTGCTTCTCGACTCGGCGTCGCTACTCACAGCGTCCGCTGAGAGCTTGTTTTCCTCGGAGGCGCAGTCCGAGAGCTCGGAGCTACTGTCGGTCGGGGAGAGCATCCCGGTGGCACAGCCGGAGTCCTTAGATAAATCGTCGGAGCCTGTGCTGGCGTCCGAAACCTTACGGCGACACCCGGTGCTTTTCACTGCGTTGGCCGTTTTAGATGAGGCTGAGGATGATTTGCCCGCCGGTTTGCTCTTATCCGCTTTACCTTCCTTTCCAGCGAGACTTCCCACGGGGCTGCGCCGGGAAATGCGGCTGCCCAGGTGAATGCCTCCCGGCTTGACGCTCAGAGTCGGGGTCCCAATCCCTCCGCGAATCTTGGTGAGCGACCAACCGGGTACATCTTTCGGTCTGGCCGGGGAGGGTACAATACGCTCCTGACGACGACCGTTTTCTTTTGTTGGAAACCACTGGTACATTGCACGCCATGTTGTTTGCAGCTGTATTGAGCTTTGGCCCAGGAAGCCCTACCCACACAGTGACGTCACTGGGAAAGTCCCGGATCGATGGAAGCGCCCAAGGTCATTAGGCGCGTATTTCAAAAAATAAATTTGCGTATCTCGATCGTTTACATTGGGAATAGACTAGATAAATACATTTCCTAATGGGAATATTGTCGCATGGAAAGCAGTTTGAAAAGTGTTTCCATTTCCCTTTAACGTTACACATTACACTCGTGTTACTCACCAAAACCTTGTATAGCCGGTCCCGCATGCTGGCTCTTACGGAACCGACTAACTCCCCTTTTGTGTATGTACAGTTCTCAACATGCCCAGACTTGTAGTGATTTTCACCTATTTTAATACTTTTCACTACATTCTGAAAGAAAGAGGTGAAATGTGCTAACGTGACGGCCATCTTGGTGTTGGTGACGTATGCAAGACCAGAGTTGTAGTTCATTGAGTGCTTCACACAACAAAATGTGTTACTTCACAGTTTTACGACACATTTTTTTTTTTTGACTTGCAAAATTATCTTTTAAATTGACAAACATCATATGTGTAATTCGTTGCACAATTCAAACGGGATCAAAAGATAATCTTTCTCTCTCCATTGACTTCAATACATGATTTTTCCAAAATGGAGGTCCACCGGATAGGGAGGGATTTCGCCTCTCTATGGCAGTTATAAGCAGTAACATTTCTGTGGTCATCAAAACAAGTATGAAAGTTAAAAGGTCTATAGGTTAAATATTAGCAATCCTTTTCCTGAGCCCCCCGCAGCCCATGTTTAGGAGTTAGGACTGAAGCTGAAGGACTCGCAGTCTATATAAAAATTCTACCAATTGCTTGATTCTTGGAAATATATTTTATACAGATCCAGATTTACTAAGGCCAATTTTCCGACAGTTAATCGAGTGTTTTGAGCTTTATAGCTTGTTCTCAGACTGAAATGAGAGTATGGTCATGTCAGTCAACAACCAGACTTTAAACTGAATTATTGACACAGAAAATATGTTTGAAATAAACCATTATTAAATAATTCAGCTTGGAAATTACACACTTAGAACAGACATTGTTAAAGAAAATGTTTGCACAGTTAATAAAGTAATTGTCGGTTTTCTGTGTGTATTATTGTTCTATTAACTCTCTATTTAATCTATTTATTATAGTCTCTTTAAGTAGCCACGGGTCCGACCCTCCAGCGGCGCCCATGAACGCGGAGCGTTACGACAGCGACACTCAGCGGCAGTATTGTGGAACTGCAGCTAGTATTTTTTTTAATAGAAACAAAAGTCAGGTAAAGTGTTTCTCTTTTAATCAAGGCATGAACATATACAACAAAATGACATGTATGGAAGGTTGTAGCCCAAAAAAATTCAGATCGACAAATCAATGTTCAGAAGCACTAAAAAGACCGAAATAATAAAATAAACTGTTTACATGAGCACTTTGAATTGCCTTGTGTTGAAAGGTGCTATATAAATAAACTTGCCTTGCCTTACATCACACTGATTTGTAATGTTTTGTTTTTTTTTACAGTAGAGTATCTAACTCACAGCACATCCCCTATTTCTACTGTTTATTACCGTTTGGAAGTGATTTGAGGTTATTTAACTTGTTAAACAGAAAACCAACAGTTTGGAAGATTTGGGGGATTTTTTCATAAAACAAGACTGGTGCATGAATTGTATCTCAATTCTGAATGTGAGTGAAAGAAAAATATGTTAATATTCATAATACTACTACTGCTAAAAAATACTTTACAAGCCTTGCATTCAAAATTAAGTAAAAGTACAAAAGGATTCACATCAAAATACAATTAATGTTCCACGAGTTAAACTAGACTACTTGTTTTTGCAGAATGGCCCAATTCAGAATTATAGATATTATATAATTGTTTTCTAATTATTGATGCATACATGTGCTCATCCCTTTCATGTTGCAGCTCTATTAAAGATGGAGTTCAGTTTAATTACTTTGAACCTTTGAACCAGTTCGGTCTCTCCTTTATCCCCCAGCCCTCCCTTTTCTAGCTTCACTAGGTAGGTTTCGTAATTTCGACACTTGTGAAAGTACTTGAAGGCACCCATTTGCGCTCATTGTTCAGTCAGTGCTCTCAATACATTTATTTTAAAGACAAGCGCGTGCACGGTCAAACCAAACATAAAAGTTGTATTCAATTATTAGTGACTTAGAATTCGTATAGGAATTGTCACGGCTACGTCCTGAATATTTCCCGTGTACTAAAAAGTGCGCGGCATAACTGAAAAGGTGAAAGACAAGAGGCTCAGTCAGACATACAGTAAATTGCTCTTGAGAAATGGAATCATCGCTAACAGTTGACGGGACTACAGGCAGCTCTGATGGTAACGTTATTCTGACTTTTTTGCGGCCGCCCTTAGTTAAAGTTAAATACATCTCTCAACAACAAGCAGCTGTGGCGTGTGGCTCATAGCCTTCTTTTGTAATCTAACCTAATTCACATGAATAAACTACGTAGATCGAAAATGCTACTAGCGAAATGCTAAAGCTAACCAGTTTCTAGCTAATGTAGCGGTCGCTCAGAAGGCAACTTGGAAGAACATAATGACAGTGTTCGGAAAACAAGAGCCGTATTACCGTGGTTATAATAACTATTTGTATAGTTTTAACTATGATATGTTTTTGTAGGGTAAAGGTTTATAGCTTACTGTATGACAACCAAAGGAAAGCTTACTGTCTTCATTTACACTTGAAGTGAGTTTGTGTCAAATGCTGACACGTCTTTATATTTCCCTCATGCAGTGGTGTAAAGCAACTCAGTACATGTAGTACTCTACTTAAGCATATCATTGTAAGTTTCTTTACCTGAGTATTAACATTTATTTAATTTTTACTCCACTACATGGGTGAAATATTGTACTTTTTACTCCACTACATTTATTTGACACTAGTTAGTAGTTACTTTTACATAATTACAACATGATCTTTTATGTATTTTAATTGGTAAAAACAGAATACTATAATAGTTGATAATATTACAACACTAATGCATTATAAGTCTTTTTATTTTTAAAACTTACAGTAAAGTAAATGTACCTGATAATACATTTGTACTTTAACTTAAGTTACATTTTGAACTCAAGGTTTTTACTTTTATTTTCCAGTAGTATTGCACATTTTACTTAAGGATCTGAGTACTTCTCACCTCTGCCCTGATGTGTGTTTACAGCAGGTGCCTGCCATGCTGGCGTGATGAATGGTTCTCTGACAAATCTGGACTCAAGAGAAAACCCCCATGTTTACACTGAGGACCATTGTTCCCCAGGGGCCCCTCCACATGTCAGTGTTCCTGCAGGGGCTCCTTATCCTTACCAGCACACGATCCAGCCAGAAATGGTGGACCATCTCACCTTAAGGTATGATGTTCATTCATATTAAAATGTTCCAAAGTGACTTAACCGCCATACTGTTGCACAGTCGACCTTACCATGTGAAGTACAAAAAAAACCTTAAGGAATAGAGTGATGCGGGAATGAGTCTTTTACCCAGAAATGAGTGAGCACTTCCAGGCATGAATGGCTGCCTTTTTGGCAAGGCAGCCATTGCTAAATAACTTCCTGGTCATCTTACAATGATGTGTCATCCTGCAGCACTCTATACCGAACTGCATAATTGATTGACATCTAAACCTAAAATGATGTATAGTTGGTCTGGTCTAAGATGAACACCTTCATTACAGGTTTCAGTGTCCATGTCAGTCCGCTCAGTGCCAGCTGTCTTACCCAGACTACCTCCTGGATCCCCAGTCCAGTCAGTATCAGCTCCTCCCTGGGTACGTCCTCTTCAAGTTACAGGTGGTGCTCTACTGTGGCATGTTGGAGTCCCTTTACTAAAAATGTCACACAAAGAAAAAATCTCTAACAAATGACAAAAAACGTTGAAACCACAACTATCCTAACCTTTGCACCATCTGGTGGCGACACTAAGAATGACACAGGGCTCTGCTTTGAGCGGGCCTGATATACAGGATGCAGGACTTTAACTGGGATTGTTTCATTTGCTGTCAGAATCATTTCAAAATTGTTATTATCACATAGACATTCTACACATACTTAGGATTACTTCTACAAACGTAGTCTAAATCAGGTAAATGAACAGACTAGTATATGTTTCAGTATTCAAATGATACCAGGGTTACAGGGCAGCATGAATGTAAGATTCAAGGATATCTTCTCATGCTTGAAGGTGTACAGATCTATGTGAGAGGAAAACATGTTTGTAATGTTCAAGTGACTAAAGTGTTGGTTTCCAGCCCTGTGCCTGCAGCCAGCAGCTCTCACGGCTCACTTCCTGCTCCATGGTTCACTAATGAACCCGTCCTCTGCAGCATGATGCCGGTTTGTATTCACAATCAGTTAACCTTTTCTTTTTTTAAGTTACACAGAATCTTCATAATCCTTATTTGTTTTGATGTGTTTGAGTGTGATTTGTGTTTGTTTAGGGAGACATACACAACATCTGTGTGCCTCAGGCCATGGACCAGCAGCAGTTTCAGGAGGGACTGGCTGAAGATACACAGCCTGTAAGTGAAACAGATGCACTTTTCAATCCCATCAGCATGAACATGAATAGATCTCATGTAGTTTCATTTAGTTTTCCGTAGGGAAACACAACTAGCCTGGGTATGTATGCATGTCTTAAATATCACGTACATTAAATGCGCCTACATGTTGGACTAGAGTTGTAAATTGAGAAGAAAACGTAAACATGCTTTTGACCAGGCTCAGCAGCTGGTCACTGACCCAAAACAAAGCACACAAGCTTCATTGTCCCAAAACACTGTTCATGGACTCCTCCTGACGCAACCACAGAGAACAAGTGTTGAAAACACAGCCCCCCCTTCCCCCCTGACCTCCATCAAAACAGACTTGAATGATGATAAAAGGAATCGATTTAGCTGATTCTGTTCAAAAGGAGGGAGCACTACCTTAACTATAGCAGAATGCCTTTGCTTCAGAGAGATACATGTATTTCACTACATTCAGTTCTTTTGGCTTAGTTTTGATAAACGATTCAGCAGTAATAGAATCCCTTTCTTAGTCCCACGGAGGGGAAATGTGCGTAGTTACAGCAGGAAAAGAGCACATGTTAAATATGTGACATGCATTAAAAAAAAGTACTAAGTTATGATATAATACAAAATATATAATACAAAATGAAAAGTTACATAATAAAAAACCAAAACACATCCTGTAACAGTTCTTAGGATTTAGCAGCCAGGTGTATGTTACACAGTTATTAACGGCATCTATATATATTGCACATCTAGCACATATTGCTCATAGGTGGTTGGTATTTAACAGCAGCAAGTTATACAATTTACAAAATACACATCTTGTAGCAGTTCTTAGGATTTAGCAGCCAGGTGTATATTACACAGTTATTAACGGCATTTATATATTGCACATAGTTTGTTGGTAGCAAGGGGTGATATAGTCTGTGTTGTGGTGTGTGGGGGGGGGGGGGCAGTGAGTGCTGGTTGTATAGTCTGACCGCTGCAGGGAGGAAGGACCTGCGGTATCTCTCCGTGAGACAGCGGGGGTGCAGCAGCCTGTCGCTGAAGGAGCTGCACAGTGAGGACAGGGTGTCCTGGAGGGACGTAGTCAGTATGCAAATAATAGTTTCCATATCAGTTAACTTGCACATTCTTTTGAATAATTAATAGTTGAATCTATAAAATCTCAGAAAAAAAGACCTCTTTCCCAATGTCCTTCTCCTTATGTCCAAGGTTACCTTTTCAAATGTTTTGCTTCGTTCAATCTACTGTCCAAAACCCAAAGAAAGTCATGTTTCTATCAGTCAGGCGTGTCACGTGCTTCATCAATGAAGCATGTTGTTTACAATGATGTTTACAATCTGGAAGCAGGACATTTCATCTAAACTATCTCAACCCAACTAGCTGCTGATTGATTTCAGGTGAACTGATCCATAATCATCCAACTGTGTGTGTAGGTGGTGTGCAATGTGAGTGGGGATGGACAGATGGTGCTGGTGAACCCCAGTGAGCCGGTGTATCTCACACTGAGTTCTGCACCAACACACAGAGAAGAAGGTGAGCACACTCAGGTTACATGTTAGCTCTCTGCCAGCTATGAGAACACAGAGGAGAAAGTCCTGCCAGATATGAGTACAAACATGTGTACGTTGGCCTGAAAGGAAGACAAGAAGAGGCTGGGATGACGGTCCAACTAGTGTGGGTTCATTTATAATGTATATAATGTTCGTGTGAAGTGTTAAATACTTATCATACACAGATAGTTTTGTCACCACTGCTAAGCTAAAGTCGGATAATGTTTGCTGTGATGACGTTTAGTATCTCATTTAGTCACTGTATTTATGACGGCTTCAGACATCTAAGTGGGGTATTTACTGATAACATTACAATCTCTTGAGCTTGTGCTAACCACAGACCTTATTTCAGGTTACAAACCAAAAAACACATTCAAAAAACATTAGGAGGCGGAAGGGATAAAAAGCTCAATCTTTGTAGGACTCATTGCTGCACCACTCCAATCATTTGCTCAACCAAAGTGTAAGCTTCTGCAAGGTATTTGCATGTGTTCATTCATTGTTCTAGTGATATTGTTTTTGGCTGTGTGTTCATCAGACGTGAGTGTGGTCCGGACTACAAGGCAGGTAGGAAACAATGAAGAAATCCTCTTTCTCTGCGGGGCTTTTGCAGACCCCAGTACAACGACCCCAGCTCCATCTTCACCATGACTGCGTGATACATTCATTGATTGATCATTTATTCATTTCCTATCATGTATTCAATCATTCATTCAAATCCAGCCTCCCCACTACCATCAGGCAGCCTATACCCTGTCTGGTCAGACCTCCAACATGCAGCCTCAAGCCCCCCCAGCACAGTAAGAACCATCATGTGGGCAGCCTTCATATGTGAAATAGATTTCATTGACGACAGGACCATAGCTTCCTTGTGAAGTTCTCAAACAACCACAGGATCATTCACAATATGATACCAAACAATGTGATATACTTTTTGTCAGCTCATGTCTGAAATGTTTCTTGCATCAGCAGCTCCATTTGTAACATCAGCTCGGACAGAAATGAAGACTTCTCTTGAAGATACAAGAAAACAGACATTATGAAATAACATACCAATCACTAAAGACAATATGTTCAAGACCCTTCAAAGTAGATGTTTTCCTCTGCATTTCATTTTAGGATTGATTGGTGCTTCATTCTAACCCTATTCAATCATGGGACCTTATCTTATGTATAGGTTTGTTTCATCTACATTTAGAAAAGATGTGCCTGTCCAACTATTTGAGAAAAGAATAGATGACCCAAAATGACTTCCCTAAAAGCTGTGAAAACCAACTCTGTTGTCTATGAAGGATAATATAAAGGCTCTGGCACTATGTAGACATTGTACTTCATATTGGAAAGTAAAGCACCTGCAGGCCAACCTCTGGATATCCAGAGAGTGTATGTTCAGTACGGGCGCTCTGGAGTTACACATTGAGTGTTATTTATCGTGGACCTGAAACAGCCAGGTACATTCTCTCCCTTTCCTCTGCAGGACTGCTGGAGCTTTGTGTGAGCTGAGGTCCAGGAAACCCTGCCACTGCACCAGATCCCAGTGCCTCAAACTGTGAGCATGCCAGCGTGTCACTTCCTGGTGAAGGGATGACCACTTTGGGTTTTGGAATATATCAGAAAATAAGATGTTAGGCTACTAACTAACTACATCACAGTCAGATGACTTCACATCACCATATTTGACTCACATTTGATACCTTTATTGTTCTTTCAAATGATATTATTATGCCTGTAAATGAATTTTTAATTATTGATTTTAATTATTTTTGAGTAGCTAACTTAACTAAATTATTTAAACTCACACTCAAAGAGACAAACCTCAGCTCAAATCTCCAAAACTCTAAACACATTTTACAGTTTTTTTCAATTGCTAAAACACATTTTTTGACAACAGGGCTCATTTTCTCAAAACACTCAACACAATTCACAAAAGCACACACCCAAAGTGCAAACCACCTCATATATACTGCAGAATGAAGCACTGCACCCAGAACTACATACACACTTACCAAAAGGCACACACTTCATTCACAGTAGAAGACTCTTTGTGGCACTGTGGTGCTTTATCTAAAGCACACTCGTCTTTTATGGCGTTCTGTATGTAGAGAATTCTGTTCAGTCTACATTTGAAACACAAATATACTGTTGTTATACTTGTTATACTTTTCTCCAAAACAAATTGGTGCTACATTCCTGCACAACACATAGTTACAGTTGTGTCAACAAAAATGATGCCTCGGTCAAATGCAGTCAATTGAGAGGAAAACTTTGAGGAGAAATCAATTCCAAAAATCTTTTTACAAAAACAGAGGAGAGAAAAATACTCTGCATTTGACCACCTCACTGGGTCTGACCACAGCCCCTCATCAAGCTGCAGGAGAAGCATCAGCTGCAGCCTGACGCTGATACAGATACGGGCATTATGCTGCAGATAACTCTTCAATGACTTCAGTTCATCCCCCCCCTCTCTCTTATCCTACAGTATATTTGTGTTTCTGCAGATATGTTTGTAGACTTGAACAATCTGTATATGCAGAATTCTCCTCATAGAGGGAGGAGACGAGTGTGCTTTAGATAAAGCACCACAGTGTGTGTAGTTGGTGGGACAAAGAGTCTTGTACTATAAGTGAAGTGTGTGCCTTTTGGTGCAAAAGTTTGGTTTTGGTAAGTGTTGATGTCGGTTTTTTTAAACTACATATTATTCCTTGAAACATCTTTCCATTTTTTATTAGCCTTCTTTAATTTGTTTTCCTTCAAATGTATTGCACAACAATATCCCACTGTACAACTTCTACGTTATTTGAACAACATTAATGTGTGTGTGTGTGTGTGTGTGTGTGTGTGTGTGTGTGTGTGGTTTATCTTTTGCAGCTACTGTGAGTGTTTTGCTAATGGACTGATGTGCAGCAACTGTGACTGCTCTAACTGCCACAACAATGCAGAGCATGTCACAAAGCGTCAAAAAGCCATTAAGGTTTGCAACGCTTTTGGTAAACATGTCTACGTCATCAACTTAAAGGGGACCTATCATGCAAAATGCACCTTTGTACGATACGATACGATAATACTTTATTTGTCAGATCAAGTCTGAAATTTGACTTGAATTTGTACGTCTTTTATACATGAATATGTGTCCCCGGTGTGTCAGAAAACACAACCCTCTCTCTTTTCCTCCGTACCCAACATCTCTAAAAGCGGGGCTTTAACGGATCTGATACAGATTGATCCAGATTTGAAAATAGTGTGACTTCAGTGACGAGGAGCTCCGCCTATATGGCCAACTCTCCACCAATCAGGAGAATGAGAGATTGCCGTGGCATGGTAACAGCATGGTAACATGACGCTGGTAACTCGGCCCCGCTCGGCCCCCTGCTTTGCAGGGGGGCGTGGTCAGCTGCAGCGCATGCAAAGACAGGTTGGAGGAGAGCAAAATAGAGCGAAATGAGGCATGGCTAAAATGCATGATCTGTTTGGTATTTTGAAAAAGAAAACGTATAAATATACCTTATAGGTGTGGCCCTACAATATATTATTCAAATATAGCATGATAGGTCTCCTTTAAATGTATTTGTATGTCACTCAACGGAAGTGCTTCACAAAATGGGTTAGGGCAGAATAGAATACTTAAAGGTGGGGTATGTCATTTTGGAGAAACCAGCTCGAGTGCGCTAGAATTAGAAAAATCTGCCACTTCCTTACAGAGCCCCTCCTCCAACACACAAGAACGCGCACATGACCAATGAGGGCACGAGATAAGTTTGTGCACAGATGGAAGGCTGACAGGCAGGTAGGCCATCCAATCATTTTAGCCGGCTTAGCTGATTGGTCGTGCTTTTTACAGCGCTACGGCTTCCACAGATGATTTTTTTAAATGGATTTTTTGTCAAAGCACTTAAGATATTCATTGCCATCGGGATGTTAAGAGCATTCCATGGAATATAACAGAAAGTGTATCTCGAGCCGGTTTCTCAAACTTACCTACCCCACCTTTAATGTAATGTAGTGTTATGGTAAGAGCAGGCGAAAACTGAAGAGAAGTGCATGTTTGATATGAAGACCAGACAATCCACACAACCAGATGTGGGTGGGGATTGCAATTCTGATAACATTTAGAGTTATTGTGCTGCCCTAATACACAATGACTAATAGAAAAACTAATTGTTAAAGATGATGATACAAGGAATACATCGATAAATCCAGTGATCTGTCTGAATAACTCGGTCTGGACATATCCTCAGAGATGGTTATTGTCTTAGGAAATACTACTACTTTAGAAGGCATATATAAAGATAAGAAGTAAACAAAAGTCCTTACATTTCTCACCATTGGGTAACAGAGGAAACGTTATGGAGTGTTGGAGCTGCAGTAAACAGTGGCTCACAGCATTGATTGATGCCGTGAGCCACTGTTAAGTGGTGTGTCACAGTATCAGCACTGTTACAGCAGACTCAAACACACACACACACACACACTATTTGCCATTAGACTTGCATTTCACCATAACCACCACATGACCATGGTCCTAAACATAATCTGATTTAACCTTAACGCACGTTTTAACCCAAAAACAAGTGATCATAGAGAGGATAATACTAACTTCTCCCCATACACAATGCTTCAAATCTCAGACTGCAAATCCATCCGCCAGTTTACCGGTAGAATGAGCATCCTTCTCTGCAGCTCTTCCTCTGAACACCTGAGGTAATCTCATGCCAGGTGGGATACAGTTTATAATGCCCCACACTCACAGGGGGAGTCAATACTCCCATTTCCATCACCACAAAGACAAGCTCAACCCTACAGTACTTAAAAAAGTAGATCAGATCAAACGCTTATACATAACACAACTCAATATAAAACATATTTTCAAATACAACAATATGTAACATTTTGGAATGAAAAGTCCCCTGAACAGTTCAGCCACAACATAAATATGTAGCTGTCACTAAGTTATAGCAAGGTATTTACTTTTACTCATTTCCATTTAAACATGTGATCTTCTTAACACCTCACCTCTGACATATGTTTCATTATATATATATATACTCCCTCCGTACATTCTTGTGATAGCCCTGTTAACAGTGGTTAACTCGTTTATTGGTATAGTTGTGCTTATATCTGTGCATCTGTTTATCTTAAGTACAACGTTAACTGCTGTGAACTTGTCCTCACGCTGTGTTTTGTAACAGCCTATTTTTGTTAGCTTAGTTCATATCCCACTTAAGAAGTGAGGTTGTTCTTTTGTTTATTGTTTGTTAGCTATTTATTTTATGTATGAAGTTGTTAAACTCTTATTTAAGAGTCTTCCCTAGTTGTTCTTGTGTGTTTATTTAGTCCCCGTCCACACAGAGACGATATCAGTTGTATCCGCTAACGTTCTCTATCGTATAGACCAGGGGTGCCCAACCAGTCGATCGCGAGAATAATGCACTTGAACACATCAAAGCTTTGTGATTGGCGTGACCCCATGTGTCGGGGCGTGGCAGGTGGGCAGTGGGCACTAGTTAGCTGACGTTGTCCGTGGCAACAGGAGTGACAGTCCGCACACATACAAGACCACAATTATGGCAGAAGCAAAAAAGCCCAAAATATATCATTTTCACTTCGAGTGGGAGGATGATTATTTTTTTGTTTATTCCAATTCAAAGTCCATCTGTCTCATCTGCAATGCGAGCGTGGCTTTGCCGAAGAAGGGTCATTTATGGCGCGTTTCCACTGCAGGCCTCGCTCGGCCTCGCTCGGTTTGGTTAGTCCTTATTAGGCCCGGCTTACTTTAATGCTGCGCTTCCATTACAGTTTAGGAACTGGGGCAGTTACTATAGTAACGCAGTGTAGGCGGAGCCGTGACGTCATCTTCAATGAGAGCCCCAGAAAAACAACACAGCCGTTAGCTCTTGAGCTCACAGCTCCTCATATCTGTTCAGAAACTAGACAAAAGTTAAACAAGTACAAACCACAGACTGTCTGTGTCATGGCGAATACAGTCGCTGGTTTATTTATGTCTGTAGGCCGTTGATGTGAGTGTGGATGGTCGGAGCATATATAACGTTAGCTTAGCCAAGCTACATTTAGAAAACACTCATTTTAAAAGGGTTTTTCGCCTGCCGTCTGTCTGCAGACTTGTCAAAGCATTAATTCATGGTTTTTACTAACCGGTATCAGTATGTTGTTACTTCGGCATCATTTTGAAACGTGTATTACAATTAAATCACGGTCAAATATGTTCATCTTGTTGTAGTTGTAGCCCCCTTGCCAGCGATTCTCTCTCTAGGTTAGCATACTCGGCCCGACTCAGCCCGGTTGTTCCTGGCCCTAGAACCACGATTTAGTCGGGTCAGAAAAAAGGTGAAAAAGTAGCCCCGGGCCAAAACTAGGCCAAGTGGAAACGCAACCAAAAACGGGCCCCGCACGGCTCGGCACGCTTAAAGCGAGCTACCCGCTGCAGTGGAAACGCGCCATTAGAGCGGCATTTCAAAACGGTGCACAAACGCTACGAGACGGAATTCCCTCCTAATTCTGCCCTACGCTCTTCTGTTCGTTGCGTGCATATGTAACAGAGTTAAACATGTGAATACATAATTATAAGTTTGTGAATGTTTAATTCATAATAATTTGTGAATTTTAAGAGATGAGATTGTTTCATTTAATATTTTAAGTTTTGTTTCCCGTGGGAACACCGTCCCGTTGCACGTCTTTTTTTACTTCCGGTATGTATTTTCCACCCTCCGCGGACTGGCCATCTGTAGAATCTGGAGAATCACAGAACAGCCGGTCGTCAAGGGCCGGCTCGATTCGCTGACGGCCGTCACCGCCCTTAATTTTTTATGTTTTTAAAAGGCATCATTGAAGTTGCACCGGCAGAGGTCCGCCGTTTCCCCGCAGCGAGGCTCCCCCCCCAGTTGACAGTTCGCTAGCACCCCCAGCCCCCCCCCCTCTCTATTTGGACAACTTTAAAAGTAGTTCTTGGTTAAAAAAAGGTTGGGCACCCCTGGTATAGACGGTTCATCCACACGAGGCCGAAACTGAGCCGCAGATTCGGAGCCCGAATCTGATACACTTTGATAACGGCTCCCAAAGTGGGTAGGTCTGGGGACGAACCGCTTGCGGCTCCGTGTGTACGCCAAGCCCCCAGGAAGTGCGCCGGACTCTGGGCCCAATATTCGTTGTGTCCAAACGGCGGTACTGCAACTTCCGTATCAGTCCGTGACGTCACCCTGCCCAAAAATACTTTTTCCCATTGACTAACATGGGGAAAGAGACGTCTGTAAATCAGTGGATATATTTGTTTTATCTAAATAAACTACCCAGTATGAACTATTTTATAGCCCTTATTAGAATCATTTGTTGTATGATGCACTAAAAGCCGAATCTAGGTGTATTTTCTCTCCATTCATTCTAGTGAGCCGAGAGTGGGAGTTCGGGGGGCGGGGCTTAAGGGGCAACTCAACTGTGCATGCTCTATGAGCGCAAATACGGGTACTTCTGCTCTGACAGCCAGGCATGATGGGTAATCTGTGACGTTTCGCTCTCTCAAAAGTTGGGCCATTTTGCCTTCATGCACCAAGCAGCTCTCATAGGAAAGAACGAGACCCCGCCTCCCACGCTGTATCCAGTTCTTATTATATATCCATGGTGTACGCCCTATACGATCATTTCCTGAAACGATGACGCCATAGCCCCACCTCTCCTGCTCACCCCAGCGTCACCCGCGTCATTGCTGATGCGTTTCGCCAACAACAACAACAATGGTGTATCACAGGGTTGAATTCGTGCTCCAGACGCTACTGACCATGATACAGATGTTAGTGCAAAATCTACAGCTCCTTTACCACAACCATCAGAAACAAGTGGACATTTATGTGTTTGTTTATGCCTTATGCCAATGCTCGGAGGTTCTTATTCGCTGCTTTTGGTGTATTTTGTGGCGGAAGTACAGCGCCACTTACAGGCCCGGCATATGTACTACAGCTTCTCCAGCATTTTCGTGTGGACGGACACGTTTCTTGATCCGATTCCGTGTGGAGGGAAGACTTTTTTGAAAACGGCTTCGGTTAGTTTTCGTCTCCGTGTGGACGGGGCCTTAAACCGGTGCCCTTGTGGCCCTTTTCTTTTGTTTGTGGCTGTTTGTTTGCCAACTCAAATTTAGCTCCTCTCAATAAAAAAATTGTAATTTACCAACACCATCCGGAACGTAACAAACACAGAAAGAGCAGCTGCAGGGCTGTTTGGAGGAGAGGTGGTGGCTTCAGGTGGAGGATGCTATTTGCCAACACAGAGTACTAAGTTGTGTTGAGAGCTAGGACAATAAGTTCTATTAAAACCAGAATGTTGTCTCAGATGTTTTACCATAGTGGTTATAGTGATAATGGTCTGATGATACCGTTAATTTGATAGTTAATTAAGTGTTCGCAGTGTACTAAGGCAGGTATCCGAATTGAAACACATCAAGTAAGTCCTTGGTTATTTATGTCATGCTTAGACATGTGAATGCCATTCTGTTTAGTTGTTCTTCCTGGCATGTATCAATATTGTGATCCAAATAATTGTACATGCACACATTTAACATCCGACTTTACCGGTTTAGAAATTGTTTACATACAGTTTTAATGTAATCATCCCTGGTGTTGTCATCATGTAGTCATGTTTAGGTCGGAACCCAGACGCCTTCAGGTCTAAGATCGCTGCCGGGCCGTCAGGAGAGGTCAAAGGTTGGCACAACAAAGGCTGCCACTGTAAACGCTCGGGTTGCCTGAAGAACTACTGCGAGTGCTATGAGGTGCACACACACACACACACACACACACCATTGTTTCCCCTACCATTGTCTTGGAGGGGCACTGCTCCCCGCCAACGGAGCCCGTTGAAGGTGTTTAAACTATAATTTTTTTTTAAATATAGCACCAAATTGCAACTAATCTATATCTACTGTCACTTTTCACATTGAACATGTGCTCTTTTATTAAATAAACTAAACGCTTTCATTTTAAGATGTGAGTTTAGTCTTTTTGACCCTAAGAAACACTGATGCTTTAATCAATAACAATAATCCACAGCTCCTCTCTCTGCTCCAGAGGATTTAAAAAATATATATCCCCCCCCCCCACTCAGGCCCCTTACTAAGCAGTAAACCTAGGGGAAACATTGCACAGACACACTGCACAAATTAGCTAAACATTGATTGAAGTCTTCTCGAGCCACGACCACGCAACAGCAACATGTCGATTCAAGATGTATTACCTGAGGTATTGAATGTGTAGTACTGATGAATGTAAGGAGGAGGGGTAAAGAAGGACGTGGAATGTCTGCTGCCCAACAGAAGGAGACTTAGGATGGGGTTCTGTCTCAGGCGTGTTTCTGCCCAATCTGAATACCAGTCCCCAGACAGATTGAATAGAAAGAGACAAGAGACCAAAGCTGCCGTCCAAACCCATGTTTTATTATTCAGTTTGCTTCCGTCTCCTCTGGTATCTTGTCATTTGTAAAAAAAAAAAAGTCTGTATATGTGACAACGTTTTTGTCGTCACCTGTCCTGTTCATAATTATTTACCCAATAAAAATAATAAAAATAGAAAGAGACAAGGGGAGACAGGAAGAAGGGATGAAGGGCAGAAGAGATGTTGGAAGGAAGGGGTAAGGGATCTAAGGATGGAAGAAGGATCAAAGGGATTTATGGAGGAAGGGATGAAGCGTAGAAGGAATTTACTAACTATCACATGCAGTTGTTTGTACAACCCCCTGAGTGTCTCCCTGTGTGTCTGTGCAGGCCAACATCATGTGCACCTCCAGCTGTAAATGTGTGGGTTGCAGGAACTATTATTTTGATGACTCAGAGATGGGTCCGAAGGAGAGCAGCGTCAGTGTGGAGGACAGGTGAGTCACTCCACAGTGAGCTCTACAGCTGTAACACTTATCATACTGCCAGAGGACTCATGGTTGTGTGTGTGTGTGTGTGTGTGTGTGTGTGTGTGTGTGTGTGTGTGTGTGTGTGTGTGTGTGTGTGTGTGTGTGTGTGTGTGTGTGTGTGTGTGTGTGTGTTCAGGGGCTCTTTATCTGTGATAACCCCTGCTGTGGTGGAGGCTGTGTGCGGCTGTATGCTGGCCCAGGCGGAGGGGGCAGAGAGCGGGGCCCTGAGCCCCCCCCAGGCTGAGCGCATGGTACTGGTGGAGTTCGGACACTGCCTCTCACAAATCGTCAAGGCTATGTTCAAGAACAATTCAGACTGACACTGTGGAGGCATCGCAAAAACTGCTAGTATAGCTTGTATTGGACCATCGTCTATACAAGTTAATAGAGCACTTCAGAAGGCTTTACAGATTAATACTTTTGAAATTGAAGACTGTCGCATGACAATAGAAATGCCAAAGCTCACATACAATTGCTTTAGTTTTACACCTATATCTGCATCAGTTCTTTTACAGGGTGTGTTGTTAGCAAGCTTGACTGGTTCATGTCTCGGTCCTTTCCTCTTTTTTTGCTGTTTTAGTTCAGATGTGAAACTGTATTTATTTGGGGGTGCATGTCTTAATTGTTATTTTCTATAAAATATTTTAATTTTGTATCTCTTTAGAAACTACAAATAAAATAAACATATTTTTATGTATCTATATTTGTAGGTGTTGCAATAGGTGTGTGTTGTCCCCTTTGGGATTTTTTTAAGTATATTTATCTATCTATTTATTTATTTAATATAGATAAGCCTTTAAAATAAACTCAAAATGAAAGTCATGTGGTGTTTCAGAATATTATTTGTAGTTTTTGGATGTTATTAATTCAGCTACAATTTCTATATAATTTATTTCCCAGGAAAGTTTAATGCTATTGTCAAAAATAATCTTAATCTCTCAAACACTGAAACCATTGTCGCATGTACAACTCATTTGTACAGGATGTAAATAAGTACGATGTGGTGTAACACTTTTGTTTGTGTGAAACCGCTCAATGAACTACATCTCCCGTCTCGCACCACACACCAAGATGGCCGTCACGTTGAAACATTTCACTTCTTTCTTTCAGAATGAGGCGGAAAGTATTAAAAGAGGTGAAAATCACTCCAAGTCTGGGCACGTTGAGAGCTGTACATACACACAAGGGGAGTTAGTCGGTTCCGTAAGAGCCAGCATGCGGGACCGGGACTCTGGGATTTGTAGTCTTTCTAGTTGCGTATTTTTCATAGTCTTATATTTCAACAGTTTTAAGACAAACTGACTTTTTTGACATGGAAATTATCTTTTAAATTGACAAACATCATATGTGTAATTCATGGCACAATTCAAACGGGATGGAAAGATATGTTTTCTCTCTCCATTGACTTCAATACATACTTTTTCTGAAATAAGGTCCAATGGGTCGGAAGTAGATGGGCGGGACTTCGCCTCTCTATAAAAAACGTTTTAAATCATACCTAAACACTTTCAGTGAATTGAGTGGAAATAATGTGATATACATTTTCTTATGTAAATGTAATTTAGACCATACACCAAACTTCTAATTATGTTATATGTACGTACACTACAGGAATAGTAAGCTTTAAGCCAATCTCCATATATTAACATAAACCTAAATGAATACATCAAAACATAAGAGTTTATTTTGATTATAATGTCCCTTTTATGTTAGGAATCAGTTAAAGCAATCTATTATGCTGTTTGTTGTTTCCCTTTCCTGTAGCGTGTTCTATAGGTTTTTTGTGCATGAAAATGGTCTACAAAGGCTCAAATCAAATGCAACCAATCACGTGACTTCACTGACTTACTGTTAAGCACTCACGAGTCTCCGAATCTTAATGTTTGTAAACATGGGAATGGTCTATAACGGCTGCTGCCCCCTCACCTCCCCCCACCCCGTTCACACACACTCAAACGGTCTCGAAGTGAAAATGTCGGGAAATTCAACGATAATTACATTTGGCTAAACAAACCACAAAAATTGCCCTAATTGACTGTTTTTAAATGAAAAATAAAGAGCTTTTTGAACATTAAAGGTGGGGTAGGTAAGTTTGAGAAACCGGCTCGAGATACACTTTTTGTTACATTCCATGGAATGCTCTTAACATCCCGATAGCAATGAATATCTGAAGTGCTTTGACAAAAAATCCATAAAAAAATGTAATCTGTGGAAGCCGTGGTGCTGTAAAAAGTACAACCAATCGGCTAAACGGATTGGATTGCCGCCCTGTCTGTCAGCCTTCCATCTCGTGCACGCACAAATGTATCTCGTGCCCTCATTGGGCGTGCCGTCATTGGGCGTGCATTGCAGCAGTACTTCAATGACTCGCCAGCAGCAGGCGGCCACTTTCACCAGTCTGCTGACGTCATGTGCGCGTTCATGTGTGTTGGAGGAGGCGCTCTGTAAGGAAGTCTGAAGGAAGGGGCGGATTCTTTTCGGCTGTGTACTTTCACATGTTCGTGCACTCGTGCCGGTTTCTGAAACTTACCTACCCCACCTTTAAAGCATCGACACATCATAGTAGAACCACAATATACAAATTTGACCCTGAAAATACGCAAAATATGGCCTCTTTAAAGCTCTCCCTGAAACCACTACAAACTTGTGTTAACACGACGACATTTCAGATAAAACGTTTTCAAACTTACTTGACGAGCCCATATTTTCTCACCACCTGGCTTAAGGAAGCCCAGACTGCAGAGACTGCTCAGGCCCCCCCACACATATTGATGAGCAGTCACACGTACCCAGGTCTCAGCTATATTCCCTGATTTGGGGAATGTATCCTGAGGCCTAGAGGCAATCACAATTACAGTAAGTACTGAGCTGAGATGTTATAATAAAGAATTTAAAAAACTGATTTATCTTACCAGTCTGTCATGCATTTCTTTATTACAATAGCACACATGTATTTGTGCAAATTGTGAACATGTGTGGTTGTTTCTTTATTTCTAAAAGTGTTGCTGCACTTTCCTGTCTGTAGAAGACCCCTTTGTCAAAATCTGGGTCCACTGGATTAGGGCCGCATGTGATTTTTTAGATCTGGCCAAAAGTGTTCTGAGAACAACGTCAGAATTCTCACACAAACTATGGAATTCTTAGATTAAAGTCAGAATTTTAAAGTTAGAAACCTGACTTGAATCTCAGAATAAATATTTGTTTTGACTTTTGGTAAAATCTAACAAATGTTTAGATATCTAGATATCTGTTTATGTGCCCACATTGGGAACGTTCCTTGGATTCCCAGCAGCCAATGTTTGCCGGCATTAAGACTATCAGGGAGAGGGTAAGGGCCCCATTACATTTTTTTTATTTTTTTTTATCAAATGTTTTTATTCACACACATTTAGAAAATACAATGTACAATCACAACACAAATTACAGAAAAACCCAACAATAACAACAATCAGACAAGAGGACAAAACTAAGGGAACAAAATAAATAAACCCTCCCACCCCCAATCAGGACCTCTCAGGACCAATGACTGCAAACAACTATATCAGTTAAGATTGCTAGATCCGCTCCTTCAACTTTTCAGCTGTCGACACCCATAAACCGATATTGGACTCCTTAACTCCAGTTCCATGTAGACTACGTCAAGAAACGTCACTGAGAGCTTGTCGGGTTGTTTCCACCTCATAGCAACCAATTTCTTGGCAGCCGTAAGGCCAGCATAGAGGTCTTTTCTGGTACCCAGTAGCCGGCAGCTGAGATAAGTCATTCAAAAGAAAAACAGACACAGATACAGGTACAGTCAAAGAAAATATGTCGGACCCCGTTCCAAAAGCGAGCAACAGGCGGGCATTCCTAGAACATATGGAGAAATGTACCAGGAGCCCCCATGGAGCACAGGGTACACCGAGCATCTGCCAGAAGACCCATCATATGCAGCCGTCTGGGTGTCAGGTAAGTTCTATGCGCATAGTTCAGGTGGATTTGTTGGTGATCGGGATTGCGAGACGCCTGACGAATGTTAGCCCAGACTAAATCCCAGTTAGAATCAGGTCTCAATTCTGGGACATCCTTCCTCCACAGTCTATCTAAGGCAGGGGTCGGCAACCCGCGGCTCTCGAGCCGCATGCGGCTCTTTAAGCCCTCTACTCTGGCTCCCTTGATAATCTAAATAAAAATGTACTTTTGGTCAGATCTCAAAGATTATTATTATTTTGTGGCCCTAATCGTCTAACGTAAATATCTGTTTATGTGCCCACAATGGGATTTTTCCTTGGATTCCCAGCAGCCAATGTTTGCCCCGACTTTAAGAATATCCAGGGAAGAGGATAAGAGCCACATGAAGATTATTCTGAGATCTTACATAACAAGTGTTTTTTTTTTAAGGAAGGTATCAGAATTCTGAGAGAAAAACACTGAATGATTACTGTAATCTCACAACCACATTTAAAAAAATCACTTTTGGTCAGATCTCAGTTTTGTTTGGCCCTAATCCACTTCCATTTGTTTACTGTATGTGCCCACAATGGATTCCCAGCAGCCAATGTTTACCTGAAGGCCCCAACAGGTGACTCCGGATATGAGAATCTGTTTATATGTTTACCTCCTTGGCTTCATATCTATATAGTCTATCCATTGTATTAAGATCTATGTGGAGGACTGTTGTGATGTTAATCAGTGCTGCTCAGCTGTAAGAGCTTTCAGAATGAACGTCGTTTCCTGCTTCCCGGAAAGCTCTAATGAAAATGAAACCAGCATCCACATGAAATACCTTGGAGTGATCCGCTTTGGGACAAATCACACGCAGCGGGTCCATACTATTGATGTTCCTCGCTGCAGATCACGGTCCTGACGTCAGCCTGTGTTTTTGTGCTGTTTTTGAGCCTCTAGTAAACAGGAGTCCTGCCAGGCGCCGAGGGGGAGGATCGAACCCGCGGCTGCAGGATGGGCATAAAAGAAGCCGGGAACATCAGAGAACACACACACACACACACATGCTGGACCACACACTCACTCTGCAGCAGATATGGTAAGTCACATTTTCTATTATTTATTTCAACTATTTATGTCTGATTCATCACATTTTAATTGTGTTTTTGTAGAGATTTATTTCATGGATCTATTTGCAATTGGTTTAATTATGACAACTTTGCTGAACATGAATATTAGTATTTATTTAACTCTTCCATCATTTAATAACTACTGTTGCTTTAAAATACTTACTTTTTAGTAAATGACATTGATTCTGATTCTGACTCCACTTCTTTGGTATGTTTAAAATATATTTTCTTAAAGTAATTTGTCACAAATATAAACTCATCCTTTT